CTGCGCTACAGCAGCGCAGACGCCCGCAGCATGCGTGTTTTCTTAGCCCTTCTCGGTTTCTGTTTAGAGTGACACATACGTGGAATTATGGGACCTTCTTAAGGATATCAGTTAGGGTACTCTTATAGGAAAACAGCTTAATTTACTACACACAACTTGCTACTTATTTCGTTATAGTTTATTATTTAGTTTAGTTTAGTCATAATTGCATTCGTTTTATGTGGTTTTATGAGTTAGGTAAAATTTTTAGTTAAGTTTTAGTTTAATTGGTTATTTTTTCAGTTTTTTATCTTCCCTGGTATGCCCCATCCATAGAATCCCCAGTACCACAAACCTGCGGTTTTTTGTTTTTTACTGCGGTGTTCCTTATAAGGAATCCTTACCGGACCTGAAAGGAGTGATCCGGTGACTGAAGTGGTACCTATAGATTGGATTCCGCCACCGCAACAGACACGCAGTCATAGTGCACACGAACGAAATAGAAGGCAGGATCAGATCTGAAAGTGAATTACGTTTTGGCATGATCAGAATAGAAGTTAAGCCAAGCAGAACACGTACTTCCGCTTGCACCGCATTGAAACTTGGAAATGTTTTAACTCAATTCTCAACTCAGATTTTGGTATACGATTTTGTGGTTAAAGCAAGATAGAATTTTGTCTATTTTATAAGGCCTTAATGTTGAACGTGGGATAGTAAAAAAAGTCTACATTTTGGTAACTATAAATCCGAAAGGATAAACTATTTGGGTGACGATCCAATATGCAACTCAGCATCGATCTATTTAATCGAGGAAGGCTTTCTTTACCGTCAGGCAGCCCGCCCCACCCAGGTGTTAATCTTAGGGTGGAATTGAGCGATTAACGCAAGTTACTGCCCAGGAAACGGGTCATGTTTTTCATATCACGGCCCTCAAGACAAGCCGATACATTTTTAAGGAGAGCACATGACACGGGTGCGGGAAGTCCCTTGTTTCGGAGACTAGAATTAGTCTTATTCAGCGATGATACACATCAAAGCATTCAAGAAATCAAGTCAGGCGAACGAATGTTTTTGATTATTAAT